GTTTCTTCATCTTCTGGTGCTATCCTTTATCTTAATATAATTGATGGTCACGAAAAAGATAGTTGTCGTATCTTTGTCGCACCAAACAATGAAGCCCGAGCATTATGGGTTGCCAAACTATGGGATGCAAAGAAAGCAAGTTTAAAAAAAATGATAAAAATGCCTGTTAAAGAACCATCAGCAGAGGAGTTGAACAACGAATCGGAATTTTATGAACGAAATGGATTTCGTGATGGCATCAATGGGTTCCCTAACGCAGCAGGAATCGTTAATGGCGAAAAAATTGACATTGTGACCACTACCACAAAGAGAGTGAGGGCATATTGGGGGGTTGATAGGCACCCAGAATTGATTATAAAGGTGTTGGACGCTGTAGGAAAGCCAAACGAGAATGAAGAGATCCAAAAATTAGATGACCCTTCAGCGGCACCATCGACGTTAACTTCATCCTTACATCCTGAAGAAAATTTGTCCCAACGACTTATTCGTGGAGGATCAATCGACTCATTAATTCACGAACTCATATTTGAGACACAAAAAGCAAATCAAAAAGATGGTGATGAATTCCTTCATGCCTTTCTTCTCACATATCAACTTTATACTGAACCCAGTCACATATTTCGTGAATTAAAAAGATGCACGAGCATGAGAAAAGAAGAAGAAGATCAACCAAATAAGATTGTCAAGAGATTGATAACTATACTTATTACATGGTGTCAAAGTTATGGGCGGGATTTATTACGTGAAGATGTCTGGAAGGGTATGATGGAAACTATAGAAGAAGTAGTGAACAGTGAGAGTGTCACTGACGCAGAAAATTTGAAAAAACTGATGCAAGATACTCGTGATGGATTAAAGAATGAAAACGAGGAGGAATTTGCAGTGAAATCGCCCCTGAATTATCCTGCATCTTCGCCGCTTTCCTTGGATCTCTCAAATTTACTTGTCACAGGTTTGACACCTGCTTTGTTTCTAAAGATGACACCTGAGGAGTTGGCGCAACAGCTATATTTATACCATTTTCTTCAACTTAAGAAAGCAAATCCAAGGCAGGATTTGAAGAATTTTGTCCCATCAAAAAATCGGTCGGACGTAACGACAAAAGAATGTCCGCTAAATTTTACTCCAGCTACACCACATTTCATTACTAGATTAATATATCATCATGTATTAATTGCGTCCCAACAATCGGCATATACTAGTCGACGACCATTACTGTTGACACATTGGATACAAACTGGAATAGCATGTAAAGCTTTGGGTGACATGGCAGGTTGGATGGCGGTTGCCTCGGG